CTCCCAGAGTTTGAGTTCAGTGACCAGAGCTTCTTTGTTCCTCTTCAGAGCAGATTCATGTCTCTCACCTTCAGGGACATACCACTCATAGTAGATAACTGCATCTGAGAAAACACAAAACTTTATATGTAAAATATTAGCGTTACAGATGCAAAATGTTACCACTAGATGTCAGATTGCAACTGAAAACTGTTCTCGTACCCCTCCCAATTCAAGTGCATAATCGTCCCTATGGTGGCCGCTGTAGGACAAAAATATTTCAGTGAGCCGACAGAGATCATAATAATTACATTTAGACGGTTTCACATCAGAGCTACAGCACTGTTTCTAGTGCTGTTTGTGTAACAAAAGATTGTTGTGCACACTTGACTTTAACATATTCACATAATATCAGCACTTAGTGATAAATCAGGAAATTTAAAAAAACATATGGTCAATGAAATACACTACTCAAAAATTACAGGAACACTTTGAAAACACCTCAGTCTCAATGGGAAAAACATGCTTGATATCTACACTGATAGGGAGGAAAATGTGTCAGAAATTAAAATCACCAAGCTACAAAGGGCTGAATTCAAAGATGCCCTGAAAACCAAAGTGAAAACGACGATGTAGCAGGTTAGTCCATTTTACTGAAATGTCAAAGCAGCAACTCAAAATGGTGTGCAGAGGTGCTGAAATGGATTTAGGTCAGATGAGTGTGAGGGCAAGCTGATGTATCAATTCCTTGATCCTCCATGAACTCCCTGCATACTCTCATCATATGAGGCCGGGCACAGTTGTGCTTCTCTAGACCCTTTCCACGTCTGTTACACGTGCTCAAGGTGAACCTGCTCTCATCTGTGAAAAGCACAGAGCACCAGTGATGAACCTGCCAATTCTGCTAGTCTATGGCAAAAGCAAATCTGGCTCCATGGCGTCAGGCAGTGAGGACAGGGGCCACCCTCATGAAGTCAGTTTCTGATTGTTTAGTCAGACATTCATGCCAGTGTCCTGCTGGAGGTCATATTCAAGTTCTGGCAGTGTTTGCCCTGTTCCATCTTGCACAAAGGAGCAGATACTGGTCCTGTTGATGGGTTAAGGACCATCTACAGCCTTGTACAGGCCTCCTACAGCAACTTCCTGTCTCCTGGAATCTCCTCCATGCTCTTGAGATTGTGCTGGGAGACACAGCAAACCTTCTGTCAATGTTTTGCATTGATGTGCTATCCTGGAGGAGTTGGGCTACCTCTAGGGTCCAGGTATCAGCTCATACTAGCAGTAGTGATAATGACCCCAGCGAAATGCAAAACTAGTGAAAAAAAAAAACAGTGAACAGTTAAATTCATCACAGCAAAGCAGCTGAAACTGATTAACAACCTCTCAGATACTTAAACTGACCAGATCAATATCCTACAAGTGTAACTGACTTTATGCAATACTCTG